CATTCATTCATTCATTCATTCATTCATTCATTCATTCATTCATCTCTTGATTTCTTACATAATGGAAGAGTGTGGCACTGCTAAACCAATGGCAACAGAGAATGAATGGGGAAGACTTATGCAGGTTGACTATCATAGAGCCTGAAGGAATCTTTTTTGTTAGCATGTGAACCCAATGGCATGAATACTGGCAAACCCTGAAACTTGGGTTATACAAATTTAGGATACTCTGATTCATTTTTTATTATTATTATTTTCCTTTTAAATCTAATTTGAAAAGAATTGGCTAGAAGTGCTTTCAAGTTAGTGCTTTTCAAACTAGGCAACTTTAAAATGTGTGGACTTCAACTCTCAGAATTCCCAAGCAAGCATGCTGGCTTGGGAATTCTGGGAGCTGAAGTCCACACATCTTCCAAGCTGCCTAGTTTGAAATGAAGGGCTGTCTGACAATTAATACTCATTTTTATTCCCGGAAAGATGGCCTTCCAATGAAGCTAGAGTCATTATTAGACTAGAACTTTAATTTGAAGCATCCTAGCTGCACAAGTTACTTCACCCAAAGCTTGTCTTTTACTGAAATAGATTTCTGCAAATAGTTTGTAAATGCAAAGTAATAGGGTTTTTGTTTGCTTCAAGGATGTTTTTTGCATTATATTAATAATTTAGAACAAAATATCTGTTCTTTAGTTTCGCTTGTTATTTCAGTGAGAAACTGACTTTTTTTTTTTTTTTTACAGAACCACAATATCATCACAGATATTTTGTCATGTCCATGACATTTTTAAAAATTCCAAACTCAGTCCATCAGCTAAAATAATTTAATTATCTGTTTGAAATGCAATAGCTGCTATTAAGAAATACATTCACATGATCCCTAAAATATTACACGTAACAGGTTAAGTTTTTTAAAAAGAATAAACGTGTATATATACAGAAATTCACGTTGCTGACAAATTCATAGGCTAATCACTCACCGTTAGGATCTTCCCAGTCCTTGTAGCGCTTTTTGTATTGAGCTAACCTCTCGTCAGTCTGGGCCCCCATCGGTTTAGCCAAGTTTCTAAACGTCTTCGGGTTGCTAAGATCCAACTCCTTTAAAAGAAGGGGAAATAAAAGCCTACGCTTAAGAAATCGCTTAGGTTCATCTGTTTAATATATTCAAATCTAAGGATATTAATATCTATTCTGATTTCTAACTGCTTAGGTAGGCCAAATTATAATATATTTCTCAAGTTTCATTTAGAAAATATAGTATCCCTGACCTCTAGTTATCATTTCCAGGCTACTTAAATCATTTTCTAAAAATATTCTGGTATCTAAATTCTTAGGTAGGCCAAATTATAATATATTTCTCAAGTTTTCTTTAGAAAAGATAATATACTTTACTTCTATTTATCACTTTTAGGCTACTTAAGTCTTTCTCTAAAAATATTTAACTCCAAGCTATTGAAGACTGGTTGATGAAAAGTAATGTGATTTGGGAAAAAAGCCATCTAAGGCCATTCATTATA